GTGTACTTTCGCTAAGACAAGGAGATCCCCTCCCTTGAGCAAGCCACCTCGATTCCCAGAAAATATTTGAGACATCCCAGATCCTTAATATCAAAAGTTTGGCTCAAGTCCTTCTTGACTTGACCATCAATAAAAGTTACATGACTAGAGAAAGTAGTGACAGCGGAAGGACCCCAAACATCTAAATGTATAAGATCAAAAGTACTAGGAACCTGAGTCATATGAGGGATATAGCTAGTACGGGCATGTTTAGACAACTCACAAATCACACAATGAAGCTTAGAATCTTTGCAAGCTTATTAAATAAAGGAAAAAATTGACATAAATACTGAAAATTAATATGACCCATATGAGCGTGCCATAATTCTAAAGTCTGAGTATTAAAAACACAAGACATGGAAGTAGGCAAAACAGAAACCTGAAAACTAGCTAAAGAAGAAGAGGAAGGCTCATCCGATAGATCCCCAAAGTAGTACAGCCCATCATGCTCATAGCCCTTGCCAAAAATCCTCTTCGAACTCGGGTCCTGTAAAATGCAAGAAGAGGGTAAGAAGATGACAACACAATTAAATTGTTTGGCAAGACGACTAACGGATAAGAGATTTTATGCAAAATTTAGATCATGTAAAACAGATGATAAAGTAATGGTAGGGGATAAAGACACTACACCCTTATGATGAACAGAGGATAAAAAACTATCAACAAGACACAGATATGATTGGTGAAGAAAGAAAGGAAAACTAACTTGTCATATGATCATTACCCCCAGAATCCAGAACCCATGAGGGACTAGCAGACTGAACATGGAAATCAATAGAAGTACCTGTGGCAAAAGTGGCAGCAGGGGAAGATGATGGGCCATGAAAACTGGCAGTAAGAGATCCAAGTTGAGCTTGAAGCTGACCAATCTAAGTCTGTAACTCTTGTAAATTAGGGAGATGAACAGACCTAGGAGCAGGAGGAGCGGAATCCACTAGAGCCGCAGTCCGAGAGGTGCTAGTACCATGAGGGCGAGAAGAACGTAGCCTCAACTTAGGATGAAGTTTAAAGCAACGAGCCTTAACATGACTAAAAGCTCCACAATGATGACAAGTAACTGGACCAGTAGAACCCCAAGAACTTGACTTTGCAGCAAGAGCCATCTAATCAAATGAAACTGGAGATAGAGAAGGAGTCGGCTGAACCAGACGCCTACGACACTCATCACTATCAATGGTGGCAAAGGCCTCATAGAGTGAAGGTATGGGTGATGTGTTTAAAATATGAGTTTGAAGGGATTCAAACTCAGAGTTTAAACCTATCAGAAACTGGTAAGGATGCTAGCGAGCAAAGAGTTTGGACACAAGAGAGGCAACATCTGCTGGAAACTCAGTTAAGGGCTCATATTGAGCTAATTCTTCCCAAAGGGCCTAAAGGTATCCAAAGAACTCTGATACAGAAAGACCCAAGGTAGACTGGAAAGCACGAGCAATATCCAGATAGAGCTAAAAGATGCGAGCCTCGTTATGAGCATGAGCATACATCTGTGACAAGGCATGCCATAGATCGGGAACGGTGTCACAATAGAGAAACATGTGATAAATACGGTCTTCCATGGAGTTGAATATCCATCCCAAAATAGTATAGTTATCAATATCCCATTGTGCACGTGTAGGATTTGTTGCAGCAGGCTGGGTAGTGGAAGATAAAAGCCAATGAGTTTTTTCCCTTGCCCCCTAAATAGAGTTTAAGGGAGCGGCTCTAGGCGGCAAAATTTTTCCCATTCAACACTACACTCGTAATACGATGAACAGGAGTGTGATGAGAAAGAGAAAAATCAGAACTAATTGGGACAAGCTTGGTGGGTATATCGGATGAAACAACAAAAGATGGATCAGTCATGGTGGAAGAAGAGGGGCTGAAAAGCACATAGGGATAGCAACACAGTCCAAGAAAAAGTAAGGAGTCGAAAAAAACTCAACGGCTTATCCAAATAAATGTTACCGAACAAACCCAGTAGCTCAATGAGCAAATTAAACACATAAAAGTGCTTACCACATCAAAACAAGGGGTAAAACTACCCAAAAGGGGCAACCACACTAGACCCAAGCCAGAGGGGGTCTAGTCGGCACCTAAAAATCTGGTGGGAGCAATTTTGAAATGCGGCCGAGGGGTTGGGAAGGGAGAAGGGTGGTTGTCGGCTAGGGTAGAAGAAGAAGGAGGGGCTATCGAGTGGCTGGGGAGGGAGAAGGGTAGCTGTTGGTGAGAAGGGCTGCTGAAATAGAGAGAGAGGGTGGTGGGTGGCTAGGGTTTGGTAGCTCTGATACCAAAAATAATGGGTGGAGTAGGTGAAGGTAAAGATGGGAAATTCTAACAAGAAGTGAAGATTGAGAATCAAGAACTACCTAAGAGTGAACATTTTCGTTATTTATGATCGATTATCACAACGACTAGGGAGATTGGAGAGGATGTTCTGAAACACTTAGCAACCCAAAAACATGGCCTCTTCTTCCCGTCCAGCTACCCAGAACCTGCTCACGCTCTTTCCAGAACTGAACGAGCCCACAAGAGAAATAACTGGTGCGGTGGCCAGTGAACCGCAACCAAACACCTCTGGTTTTGCTCCATTGAACTTTCCGATGCGGTCGGTGGAGCAAAAAATGGCGATGCAAACTGATATTGAGGCTAATCAGTATACTCTGAAGTCATGCGTGGAAACCATGACGGCGGTCACAAATTTGTCGAACCGGCTGCAGAGTAGGACAAATGAGGTGCAGCATTTAAATTCCCAGCTGGCTCTGCTCCAACGCATGTATAAGGATGCGCGAGCAGAGATAAGCGTGCTAAGGGCAGAAAATAAGGAGCTGAAGCGGAAGGCTACCGTGATGTTCCGATTTGGAGGGCCGCCATATGCTGTAGTGGAGGAGCAGGGAGTAAATGTGCTCGGTGGCGTGGGAAATCCGGAGGCAACACCGGCAAGGGCCGTCCAGGACGGAGGCAAGAAGAAGAGACCTGCAGCAGAGTAGAGAAGAAAAATCTCGCCTGTGGATGTGGTTGTTTGTGGGTTTATATGTTGTGGTTGTTGTTGTTGTTTTTTTTTTTTTTTTTTTGTGTAAAATTGTGATCGGGGTTGATCCCTGTCATGAATAAAAATGAGTAGTGTTTGTTGTGGTTGTGTTTTTTTTTTTTTTTTTTTGTGTTTAAATCGTATGGGAGGAAGACAAAGCAAAAATAATAATGAAAAAAAAAAAATGAAAAATAAGGTGAAAGAAAAATAAAAAAAGAAAGAAATAATAATAATATATTTGAAAAACGAGAGCGTGAAGGGAAAAGGAGATTGGCCCACGGTTTTGTTTAAATTCAGGAACGGTGTGTGGAATTTTTTTTTTTTTTTTTTTAATGGAAAAGAGAAGATAAAATAAAATAAATAAAGTTGGGTTTTTGTCAAAACAAAGATGTGGATGATGGGTTGATAAGTGGACTGATTTTGGTTCTGTTTTAAGAAAAAAAAAGATAAAATAAAATAAAATAAAAAGAAAGTTGGGTGCAATGATGGTGGTGTGCATGTGTTGTAAGCTTTAGCTCCAGGCTCGAAAAGAAAGATAAAATAAAATAAAAGAAAAAGAAAGTTGGGTGCAATGATGGTGGTGTGCGTGTGTTGTAAGCTTTAGCTCCAGGCTCTCCTTTTCTCCCTCACGTGAGAGAACTTATGATTATAAAGTGCTATTGCTAGTGGTAGGCCCACCAGTACTATTCACTTCAAAATGTGATAATGAGAGAGAGAGGCCGTGTGTGTATCTCTGTGTGATTGGGCGAGAGCCAGAGAAGATGCTTTTTTTTTTTTTTTTTTTTTTGAAAATTTAACAGTAGCAAGAAGCATCTATGTAGTTCATTTCCTCGAGCTTCAATCTTAGCTCAGCAGCAGAACTGCTGTCTTCGTCGGGGAGAAGGACTCGGGCCGAGGCTGCTGCTACTTTTGGCTTCACTATGTTGCTCCAACATGCTGCTCCAGTAAGCTTCTTCCATCATAGAGAGCCAAAGAGAGGAGGTGCCGAGAGGAGACATTGATTTGGTGGTTGTTGTTGGTAAGGACTTGAGCCTGCAGAAGCGAGTCTCGAGGTGAGACGGAAGAACAGAGTCGGAAGGGAAACCAGAGCAGTTAATGGTGGCAACCTGTTCGAGAACAGAGTGATCCCTTGCTTGACGGAGGAGCTCTTACACTGCACACTCATTACTACTATCTGAAAGAAACGAGAAATCTGCCATTGAGCACAGAGAGAGAAAAGGCATGTGTAGAGGTCCGGCGGGCGGCCAAGGCGAGGCTACCGCCCGCCGGTGAAGCAGAATTACTAGCTTCTTAACCTTGCTCTGATACCATGTAAAAATTTATGTAATTTATGTATTATTGATTGATTGATGATAAGATTGTTGTAGATATATAGTATTACAAATCAGAGTGGTTCATTATATAGGAGAGGGTTTGGGTAGTAGGTGAGGAGTAGGTGAGGGTAAATTGGTGGTAGGTGGAGTGTAGTAGGTGAGTGTGAATGGTAAATTCTAACAGTATGAAACCAAAAGTTTAGGATGTATTTGGTTTTGTCGTAAATAGTACTTGAGTGAAATTTTTCCCCATGAATCTGAGAGTTGTGTGGGCTGCTATATATCACCTATTTTTTTCATTCTTTTATTTCACACAGAGTATATAGCCAGATATCATATGCATTCATTAATTTCTTAATAATTATCTTCAAACGAGGAAACTAATCATGAGAATCCATGTAGATTGTAATACAAAATGGTGACAAAAACCGGTGATATATAGCATTTCTCAAAAGTTGTTAAAAACAAGGCAAAGTGTTTCCGTGGAAAAATATTCTTTTACATTTAAATTTCTCTTAAGGTGCCAACAATTTTTATGTTATTAATTTCTTTTGATCCGAAATTGCTAATCTATTGGATTATTTCATCGTTATCATACACCATTTTATAGTATATTAACTATATGGCATTGCTTTGAATAGGTTTTTGAGTGGCAACATGCTAAGTGGAAATGTACCAGATTCAATCTTGAAGGATGGACGTAGTATGTATGTTTTTAACTTGAGTTCTTATTTTCAGAAATTTGTATTTGCGTGCATGTTTGTTGTTCATCAAGTTGAGTCACAAATTATTGTAAATTTTAATCTTTGTGGTATTGTTGGGCAAAATTAGTAGTTGAAGTACAGAAGTAAGCAAATAATTAACTATATTTGGTATTAGAAGGAAATTTTTTTCCAGTGGATTCAGCATTCACAATGCATTCTCCCAACTGATGTTCGCAAAAGAAGGTTGTATCAGCTGTACACTCCATCTAGAAGCCATGTTTTTTTTTTTTCCCCTGAATCTGTAAGTACTTAGTGTTCTTTCTGACTTTCTCTCTGCAGTTATGGCCTTCTTGCATTAACTCACCTTGTATTTGTGGCTCAAAGGGTTCTGTTTTGCATATTAAACCATTTCAATAGTAAATCATTATTGGGCAAGGCTTTTCTCAGTTTCTGATCTCAGGCTTTATAATTTCCACTAATCCATTCAACACTATTGACTAAGCTGTGCATGTTACATGAGTGGTTGTCACAATCAATAGCCCATCATACTGTTACGCGTAAAAAGTTCCTTCCTTGGAAGCAAAACTGTACATCAACCCTGCTGCCACTTCTTATTCTATTGACTTAAGAAGTACGGACATGGACACGTGATTGGAAATGGACTCACCAACACAAAAATTTTCAAAAAATATAGGACGCAACACGTGGAGTGTAATTTTATATATTTATTATATGTCGTATATATGAATATTTAAGTCAAAGTTTTGAAGTCAAAGGAGGAGAATGGGTATAACTTTACATTGTTTTTGTTTTATTATTGAATTTCAAGTTATTTTATTCAAATTTGTAATGTGTTTCATGTGTAGTGTTGAGAAGTGTCCAACGAGTGTCATGTCGATACCTTATTAGAAGTATTGACCAAAGCTCCCCCAATTTCCCCTTGTGAATATTCTAATTGGGGTACCTGAATTGGTTTCTCTGAATTTTCATTTTTTTAAATTATTGATTTCTGTAAATTGTCATCGCTTGATATTCAGTCCTGACTATCACTTTTGAAATGCATTTAGTACTTGCTTTCTTTGTAACAAGGAGGAAAACTTATGAAAAATATTGGGAACTTTTATTTTTTGATCAGCAACCAACAAAGAAGAATATGGGAACTTTGTCTTGATATTTTTTCCTACTTATTTAATGGCTTTGTGACTGAAAGAAAGGTTAAATCTTCTCTATCTGCTTCCTTCTAGATTTTTCTCTAGTTTTGTTTTTTGGTGCTTATTGAATTGATTGCTAACCAGCTGCAATACTTTTATTGCACATTTTTCATTAACCATGGAAATTGCCTCACTTTGCTATGTTTCATAAATAACTATTTCCAATGTCAATATTTTTTGTCACATCACTTCCAAAAACTAATTATCTTACTGCAGCAATGGGAAGAACAACCTGACTAGTATTTACTTTATTGAACCCCTCCTGATTATGCCTGGAATTAGAGAGTACTACTTTTATCTTTGTAACTTCTCATTTTCTCCTCTGTAATTTATGAATGGTCATCATCCTAGTAGTAACACCTTATTTCGCATAAAATATATTATTCCTATATGCCCATTTTATATTATTGCATAAACTGAAGTTGAGTTGCTTGATCAACTGAGTTTTAGTTTGGGATTTAAAGCATTTATGTAAAACCCTGCTATTTGATTGGTCCTTTTAACTTGGTTATACTTCTATTACTAATTTATCATATTTCTATCATTACCAAGATGATAACACCTAACGTTAATGATTTCCCACAGTGATTTTTCCTACAACAACCTTACATGGCAAGGTCCTGATCAGCCTGCTTGTCAGGAGAACATGTAAGAATACTTTTTTCTACTTTAGTTTTTGTTCCTGCTATATACTTCCAGTTAAGTGGCAATTTTTGTAATTTTGACAATTATCTTTATTTTTCATTTTATTAGGAATCTATACATAAATTTGTTTAAAAGCTCTCTGAAGGAGAACCCCTTGTAAGATGCTCTTTTATTTATTTTTTATTTCCTCATTTTCTAAAGTTTCATAATTGGCTTCTACTTTATCAACTGAAGTAGAAGGAGATTTCTACTTAGGGTAGTCATTTTCTTGCTTAGTGTACATTTATGCTAATTGTTGTTTGGCTGATTCCATAACAGAAAGAGAATTCTTCCATGTATGAATAATTTCAATTGTCCAAGATGTAAGTATGTTCTTTTGAAGCATCAGTGGTGTGAACTATCTTTATTTTCTTGATGTCTGACAGCACTATAATGATTTTAATCCTGAATTTCTGTGGGTTTTTATTGTGTTTTAAAGCTGAAAATCAGTAAGAATTTTAGGGTTTCAATTAATGTATGAATGACCTAGGTTTGAGGTTGATAAAAATGGGGAAAAGAAGATCAAAACAGGGGCTGTTCAGGAGCTTTGAATAGAGCTTGTGAATAGTAAACGGGAAAGAAAAGGAAAAAAAAAAAGAAAAAAGAAAGAAATCTAGGCATCACACCTTATTTACATATGCATTCCACCTAGGGTTAGGGTTGCATCGATGAAAACTTTATAAAGGCCTCATATGGGAATTGACCTTTTTAGTGGTTTTTTTGATTTTTTGGCTTTTTTATGAGGTCGAAAAAATTTAATGCGTTTGGGAATAATTATTTTTAATTGTATCGAAAACCATGAATTACTAAGATGTTTGAACCCTTTTTTTATTGGCTTTTTTAGTGATTTTGTTTTACGTTTTGGCTATCCAAAAAGCTAAGTTGCCAAACAGTGCCAAATATCAACTCCATTAAATTATAACTAAACTTTAGACTTTCAAAACCAATCTAAGACCAAATAAAACCCATAAATAAAAGTCAATTAAATAACTTGATCCACAAAACAATCCATGTAAGCAAATCTGAAAATGACGAAAATACCCCTAACCTTAAAACTGACCAGCGGCTTTCTGAACCCAAAATAAACATAAATAAGACTATCAAGACTAGAAACATAATTTAGATGGTTCCAATTGATCCCAATTGAATTCGGCTCGAAACCAAGCAATTTCCAAACATGAATACTTCCTTAATTTTGGTTTTCCTTGCTCCTATTGTGGATTGCATCATTTGTCCTTGTTAAAAAATCATTAAAAATTAACCTCGTATTGTAATGCATAGTTTTAGAACTGCCTTATTTTCAGAACTTAGTATACCTAACCTCCAAGCTTTTGGAAAGAACATGTCGTGGGATATTGTTACCAAAAAGAAGTGAATTCCGTGAACTTTCGAATCAAGCTGGTGCTATTTTATATGCTCTCTAATTTGACACAACCTTACTACTTTTATTTTCATTTCGACCCTAGAAGTCATTTTAGATTATATAAAATAAAAAAAAATATATAAAATATTGCAAATTAAGAATTTGAAAAGTTGTCCATAATACTACAGTCTAGTAGGAAACTAAAATCCAACCTAACCAAAAGCTTAATCTCATAATTAATGTCTCTTAGAAAAAATCATAATGTGTCTGGTGCATCTTATGCTATTTCCACCAATATTTCACTTATTGCAGAGTCTTTATTAAATGCAATTTAAAATTGCATTATGGTATTGTTTATATTTTTTCTTTTTGTGGCAGATGGATGTTCGTTACATGTTAACTGTGGTGGAAATGATTTGACTACGAAAGAAAATGATAAAAAGGTTTTGTACGAAGGAGATGCACAAGTCGACGGTGGCGCGGCAAAATATTTTAATAGTATAAATAGTTATTGGGGTTTCAGTAGCACCGGGGACTTCATGGATGATACTGATTACCAAAATGCACGTTTTACTAAAGTTGTTCCATCAACAAACTTCTCTGAATTGTATAGGACGGCACGCATTTCGCCTCTTTCACTCACTTACTTCCGTTACTGCTTAGAAAATGGGAATTACACTGTTAGTCTGCACTTTGCTGAAATACTTTTTACAAATGACAATACATATAGCAGTCTTGGGAAGCGAATATTTGATATTTATATTCAGGTAATTTTGTCATGTCCATAAACATACACCCTTTTTTTTTTCTTTTTTAATTCAAGTTATAAGGAATGCTTAATCAATTTTCTTTTTGTCTTAGGGACAATTAGTTAGGAAGGATTTCAATATTGAAGGTGTGGCTAGTGGGGCTCTAAAGCCAGTGATAGAACAATTCAATACCAGTGTGACAGATAATATCTTGGAAATCCGATTTTATTGGGCTGGCAAAGGGACTACACGTATTCCTAAGAGAGGTGTTTATGGCCCCATAATATCAGCTATTTCGCTTAATCCTAGTAAGTAATTTGTATAGCTTTCTTTCCTTCTTTTTGCTTATTATAATCTGGTTATATAATCTGTGTGTACATATATAATTCAAAGTATGCTTTCCCAAAACACGTTATTTTAAGGCCCAAAGGTACTATTGTTTTTATGGAACTAAGTTGCCAACCTCTTTGTGCCACACCAAAAAATTAAAGGCCATAGTGCAGTATAAAGCCAGTACAGATATCCTGTCTCTAATCAGTGTTTGTCATCTGAGAGTCTCTTGAATAGTTTTAGCATTTTATTTTTGGATATTGAAATGCCTAGAACTATTTTGATGCACCATTAGGCTTAATCACTCACATGAATGGTGTTGAAGGGATTGCCAGTTTTGTCCAAATATGGGTGTAAATACACCATGCGATGTTCCAAAGCTATGCAAACACGGGCTTGACAACCTGTGATTGCACATGTCCTTCGTGGATTTAATTTTAATATTTGATGAGATCTTCTTTCTTTTTACTGTTGTTGGAACTAGCAGCACATCCTGGGCTGGTGCACTGAAGACCTTCTCATTCTTCATGACCTTGCAATATTGTTTAATTGGATTTCATACGATCATTGATCTAGACCATGAATGGACTAGAAGTCAACTATCATTTGGATCCATATCACTTGGTTGCTTAATATTTTTTATTCATTACCCTCATAGTAAGTGCATGAACCAAATAAAATCAAGTTGCAATTCTCAAGCTCTACTTTTTCCATCTTTGGTTTTCATTTTTTATTTTATTTTATTATTATTATTATTTTTTATTGTAAGTCTTATTTGGTTTTCAATTTTTTATTTTTTATTTTATTTATTTATTTATGAGTCTTATTTGGTTTTTAGATAGGTTTAAAGGGTCAAACTCTTAGTTTCCAAACAGGAAGTTAAACTGGAGTTCAAAATTTTTGAAGCAATTTTAAAACCTAGGTGTATTTATCGAAAACAAAAATCTAATCCTAGGTGTGATGTCTACAGAAATCTAGGTGGAATGCCTCGTTTTATGATTCCTTTCTTCTTCTTTATCTCTGTTGCTATTTTAATCCTTTTAATCCTTCCTCTTCAGACTCTGTTACTATTCATGGAGTACTAGTCATAGCCCCTAATCATCCTCTATTTTCTTCTAATTACAATACTCAAACCCTACCTTTTTGTTATCCCATAAAAACCTTACACATTTTACATATTTTTTTACCACCCTTTGTGCCTCATAAATCATCAATTTGAACCCTAAACTAGATCATTATATTGTGGCCTCACATTAATTTTGGACTTAATTGACGTAGAGGGCATTTTTAAGTTATGATGTTAGCAGTAGTATAGTATCCTTTCCTCCAAGCTGGCTGATGCTAGCTTTGAAAGGTCTTAGGGAGGCCTCAGCTATGGATCTTCATCATTGCTTGGTGGTGGGTGGTTGTTGATATCTTACTCCCTTGTCTCTTGGGAATATTGTTGCATTTTGAGAGACATTGCTCCCCACTTACAACTTCAGCCGCTGAGATTAGATATATCTCTATATCTGTCAGTGGGAATTTCTCACTTCTGTGTCATCCCCTTTCTCTCTTCCTTTCGTTGATTTGAAGGATCTTTCATCCTTTATTTCTGTTGTTGTTGTTGTTTTTTTTTTTTTTTTTTTTTTTTTTTTTTTTTTGTGGTGTGTGTGTGTGCGCGCGCGCGCGCGACAAGAAATTTTCTTACTTTAGACACCTAAAGAAGGAAAAGGATTCTTAGAGTGAAACACCTATAGATTCTTAGAGTGAAACACCTATATTGAGATCCTTGATAAAGGTTAGAGCCACCACAATCATATTGGAATTATGAACCAGAGCAGATGGTAGAGTTCGAAATCCATTAACTTATGCATGAGGTAAATTGCAACAACCTCCCCTGAGGATCGATATGTCAGCCAAAAAGCCTCTGTAGTTTAAAAACTTATAGAAACTGCCCTGGCATTATGAAAGCTAACAAATGAAGGGCAAACTAGTAAAACATAAAATATTAAGTAAATAATCAGAAATAAGATGTTGGGTTGGGTTGGATTGGATTAGATATATACCACTCATTCTATGCAACTTTAGCATAGCCAATTACTCAATGGTACATGGAATACAAGTCAAAAAGTACTAGTACTACTAAACCACTAATCATATTCTAGCAAAACCCAAACAAAATGTATACCTCTCCTCTTTATCTGTCTACCAAATTTGTTCCTCTTTCTCTCTCTCCACATCACCGTGAAGCACCCACACACACCCATCATCACCACTATCATTGACCATGGCCACCATAGCCCACAATCACCTCTAACCGTCACCATCTCCCTTACCATCTCTCTGAGACTTATCTATAATTGTCACCACCATTGGCTGATTCACATCCCAACTTGTCAATTATTGGATGGCGAAGGGTTTGATACCTATCTTAGATTCTTTTGATCTTTCTGGCTTGCTTGGTCTTGTGGTTTGCATCGGGTCTTGAAACTAAGTTTGTAAGTGACCAAGTCAATCCAGGTGAAGATGGTGATGATGACAATGAGTTGAAGTTGCTCTCAAGTTTGGAATTCTGAGGCTCAGTACTCAATTTTTTTTGTTAACAGTTATTCTTCAAAATATGCATGTAAATATTTATATATGCACAGGGTAAATGGCATTAACAACTTATGGTACTTGTGTACACTATTTAACCCAAACTAAGGTGGGATAGGGGAGGTAGCAAGGTTTATTAATTTAGTATTATATGGTTCATAAAATTATTATTATATGGTAGTTACAGAATGAAGTTAAATAATTTATCAATTTATGAACGGTGTGTATTATTTATTCTTATACAGGTTATTAGGATGATATTGTATGGATAATTGTATAGGGAAGTTAGTTAATCTATTAATTTATAATTATTAGTCATTGCGTTGGGTTATAATTATGTGAGCAAGGCAAATATGTCATTTCATTTTCACCATATGGGTTACTATTGTCAATTTGTATTTTGTACTGTTGTTAAACAGCTTTCAAGGGTAAACTGGCGTTTGTGCTTGGTAAACATGGTCAACAGAATTTTTTATTTTAAAAAATAGCAGGAGATGTCCTTGCCATTTTTGAAAGCTGAGGTTTTTTTTTTGTTTTTGTGTGTGTGTGTGTGTGTGTGTTGCCCAAGGCCCAAACCTAAGGGAGCTCGCTGCAATTTACCCACACATATTTGATATTGGAATTATGTTGTTAGTAAATTTTTGGTCGTAGGCTCTCTTTTTGTGTGTCTATCTATTTTCATGCACAGGTGAGAGCATGTTTTCTCTTTGTAAGTGTTTTTGGCAAAGAATATATGCTCTATGAGCGTTAGTTTTTCCTCTAAGCTATCAAATGAATGCATTCTCTGTTCAAAATTTTGGTTGTGCTCACGTCTATTTTTTTCTCATTAGCATAGTTGTTTGGGTTTGTTTTTTTGGGCAGCTTTCAAATCTTGTTCAGAAGGTAGCAAGAAGGCAGCAGCTACTGCTTATATTGCTGTTGGAGTTGTGGCTATATTCGTTATTTTTCTAACAGTCAGTATCCTTTTGTGGAAAAGATATTTGAAAGGCAGAAAAAAGATTGGAAAAGGTGAGCACTGGATGAAAGTATGCGCTTACTGCTTCGTGTTGATTTATTCTTATTGTAGTATACCAGCAATACTTTTGTAACTTTCCGAGGAAAATATTGAAGGTTGTGAGATCTAAAAACTTCTCTTTTGATCCAATTGTTCAAGGCATGAGTTCATTTTTCTTTCACCCCTCACCCAAAACAAATTATGAGTTAACATGAATTAGAGGCTCATTCTACATTTCATTCCTGGACAGATTTCGAAGGTCTAGAGTTGCAAACAGGTTCTTTTACTTTGAGACAAATTATAGCTGCCACTAAAAATTTTGATTCTGCAAACAAGATTGGAGAAGGTGGCTTTGGTCCTGTCTACAAGGTGTTCTAGCTATCCCTATAATAAACCTAGGTTACTGCATAGACTTTATGCATGGAATTTAAAGAAATTGTTGGATGCAGGGTCTACTGTCTGATGGTACTGAAATTGCAGTGAAGCAACTCTCCTCTAAATCAATGCAAGGAAATCGCGAATTTTTGAATGAAGTAGGGATGATTTCTTGTTTGCAGCACCCAAACCTTGTTAATCTTCATGGATGTTGTATTGAAGGGGATCAATTGTTATTGGTGTATGAGTACATGGAAAACAATAGCCTTGCACGTGCTTTGTTTGGTAAATTTTGTCATTTGCTTGACAGCCACACGCTTTGATGTGAAAATTGTTGACAGTGATTTTATCAGCCACTTATTTTAATTGCTTTACTAATGTTCAAATGTTGGATAATGTTCAAATCCAGATGACAGACTATTGATACTTGATTGGCCATCAAGGCTTAATATCTGCATTGGAATTGCTAGAGGTTTAGCTTTTCTGCATGAAGAATCAAGATTCAAGATCATTCACAGAGACATTAAAGCTACTAACGTGCTGCTTGATAAAAACCTAAACCCTAAAATTTCAGACTTCGGATTGGCTAGGCTTAATGAAGATGAAAAATCCCACATTAGCACTCGAGCTGCTGGAACTGTGTGAGTCACTTTGTCCTACCCGAAACATAGTTAAATGCTCACCTTGTTCAAATATATATAAGTAACTTTCGAATATTGAATAAGACATCAAAATCTTGATTTGTAGAGGATATATGGCCCCAGAATATGCACTGTGGGGTTACTTGACCTACAAGGCAGATGTTTACAGCTTCGGTGTTGTGGCTTTGGAAATTGTTAGTGGGAAGAACAACAACAATTACATGCCGAGTAACAATTGCATTTGTCTGCTAGATTGGGTACTAGAGGACTTCCTTTCTTCTTCAATATTTTACTGTTAAGCTAGGCCAACATTGAACATTCTTGCCAGTCATTTCATTTCTTCCAAAATTTTTTTTTTCTTGGAAAATGAAACTACTTACTTTGAATGTAGGCCTGCCACTTGCAACAAGGTGGAAACTTGGCGGACCTTGTTGATTCAAAGTTGGGGACTGAATTCAATAATGTAGAAGTGGAAAGGATGGTTAAAGTTGCACTCTTGTGCACAAATGCATCACCATCGCTTAGGCCTACAATGTCTGAGGTAGTGAGCATGCTTGAAGGCCAAATGAGTATTCCAGAGGTAATCCCAGAACCTAATTCCTACACTGAAGATTTGAGGTTTAAAGCTATGAGAGACTTTCATCGAGAGAAGCAAAACCATAGTTTCAGTGGAAGCCAAAGCCAAAATTCAACAACAATCCGAACAGGTTTTGGTTCTTCCTCTACATCTGTTGACAAATCTCTATGAAATCAACTGGGATTCAAAGTCCGATACAGATTTTCTTCCAAGTATAGTTGTCCTAGTTGTGCAGTTGTTTTGTTGTTCTAGAATGGACAATGGGTGCTCCTACACTGTAGAACTTACAGCTATTTATTAACTTCTTTATTCATGTTGTTTCCACATTTGTATATTGTTTTCAATAGTGTATATTTGTCAGGGAATGGGTGAACGAAGTGACCGGGCCCATGGGCTCAGATTGAACGTGTCTATGTCAATAGGGACAATATAATCTCTTTTTTTCATTTTATTATTTTAGTTTGAGATAAAGGAGAAGTATGATGTAGAATTCTTCTTCCTTCTACTCTCTTGGGGGAATTTGTTGTATAATCTCTAAATTTTTGATGACATCAAATACGTAGAATGCTAGTTTCAAAATTTCAATAGATGATTCTAAGTTTCAAAATTTCAATAAATGATTCTATATTTCTGTTAAATAAAAATCACTTCATCACATAGGCCTCATGTTCAGTTGGTCATGTTATAGAAACAGTAAACAAATCCTAGTTTGCAAGGGCAAGCAAAGACAATAAGTTCGTTGATGTGCCACAAAGTTAGAGACAAGTCACAATATTGTAACTAGCTAAAGAAATATAAGAAATAATGAGGCACAACTATGCATAAGATCTTGGGGGAATTTGTTGTATAATCTCTAAATTTTTGATGACATCAAATACGTAGAATGCTAGTTTCAAAATTTCAATAGATGATTCTAAGTTTCAAAATTTCAATAAATGATTCTATATTTCTGTTAAATAAAAATCACTTCATCACATAGGCCTCATGTTCAGTTGGTCATGTTATAGAAACAGTAAACAAATCCTAGTTTGCAAGGGCAAGCAAAGACAATAAGTTCGTTGATGTGCCACAAAGTTAGAGACAAGTCACAATATTGTAAGCAACTAGCTAAAGAAATATAAGAAATAATGAGGCACAACTATGCATAAGATTTGTACAAAATAAGCTATTAGATTAAGAAAAAGATTGTATGACAACAAGGTTACAAAAATGTTGCACACAAGCTTAGACAATAGCCTAAGAAGAAGTAAAAGCTTAGACAATAGCCTAAGAAGAAGTAATTGTAAGCTTAAGAACTAATCTACTCAATATAGCATTTTAAGCCATTTACAAAGTGTAAAATGAGAGAGAGAGAGAGAGAGAGAGAGAGAGAGTTCTCTGGTTTTCAAAAAAGAGAGGTAGCTCTGTGGAGAAGAGCCCCCCCAAAACTGAAGAGAGTTGGCCTATATTTATAGAGAAAATTAGGGGGCTAAGCAGAGAAAAAGAAAAGGAGTTGGGGCCAAATATTAATAAAAAGGCCCAAAAGCAATAAATCAAAATCGGCAAGGGTCAAACTAGAAATAGAGTATGAACTCGAGGAGGACGGTTGTATTATCCTTGGGGTTGAAATGAAAATACAAGAATGAGAGGGGATGATGGAGAAATAAAAAGAAAGGCGTTGGACATTGACATCATGATAACATCGTGACATGTGCGCATGGACATATCAGATTACATCTGAGGGCCATGATTTGAACCACATGTCGCCAGATTACAATTTTCCACCATTTAGATGAGTGGTTCAAATTGTGCCATGCGTTGCCTGGCAACAACCCTAACATATGTGCTAACACGTGTGCTAACATCAAATGTCGATGCGTATGTTGATGCATTCTTTGACATCGACATCGTGTGCCATGCGCATGTTGACATGGTTCTATGCCATGTGTCATTGTATGATTGGTTAAAAGCTATTTTATACTGATTTCCTTGACATTTGAAAAAAATAAATAAAAATACAATAAGTCTTACAAGTTTAATATAACTGTATTGATTTTCTTTTTAGTAAGGGTAAAATAAGCATAACTAACACAGATGATATATAAAATAACAAAAGTATATATATTTCAGTGTAAAAGAATTGAAAAAATTACTTTTTCATTCATATTATAACAGTATAACTAATGGTGAGAGGAAAAAAGTTTATGATATGTTAAATCTTAGGAAAGTATAGTATAATTGTACCAAGCATGTGAGACTTGCTATTTTCTTTCTAATTTTTAGGGAGGTTAGTTTAATTTACCCTAGAGTTAAACATTGAAGTTTTTGTCACAGCCCAACTTGCCCCTAAAAGTTTGGGCATGACCATCCTGAAAATCAAGTCTCAGAGTTAAATATCTATAACTATATTTCCTGTGGGGCCTGAATAGAAGCAAAGATAATATCAAAATAACCAACCATTGAGCCATGCCTATATGCCACGATCATGTCACATTATACGTCATATATATATATAGATACATGGACGTACATAAAGGGTGGCAACTCGTAGGCTATACATTAAAGCCAACTAAGACAATTCACCCAAAGCTATCAAAGCATGCCATTACCTATACATATATGGGACCTCCCAAAACAAAACGAAAAGGGTCCCAATTATACAACAAATGTCCATTCGGGTAGTTTATGAAACAAGTCTAGCAAAAGGCTCCTGAAGCCGACCTAGGGTTGACCTCCTCGTTGATGACCTACACATACATACATAAACATAAAGTGAGCAAGGCTCAGTGAATAATGGCAATGGAGAAAAGATAATTGCATTAGCATAAGAGTTAGAGACTATATATAAACTAGGTATAGATTTTAGTTGTAAACATACTTCAAAATGGCCACAGGCCCATAATTCGATACAGAACGGTCTCAGGCCCACATAGGTTACAAAACGGCCTTAGGCCCAATACAGTTTGGAATAGCTTTAAGCCAAACAAATCAACAGCTGTCTAGATTAATGTAGGGTAGATGGAACATCAACATGTCCCCACCTCCCTTGGCCTTAACGCCATTGGTCACATGTGATCCATATTGTTACAAAGAAGATGAAACATCGACATGTCCCCATCTATCCTGGCCTTCGAGCCATATGTCATAAATAATTAACAATTCATATCATAACGACCTTGGGCCCACCTTTATTCTAAGGTTCTCAACGACCTTGAGTCCATGATAGTGACATTGTGCAATTATCTCAGTTAGTTCCAATCACATAGTCGAATCCATCACATATGCTATTCATAAACAAAAGCATGATCATAGCAAAAAGCAAAACATAATTTTATACTACTATTACTCACAGTGATGTGGTTGCACGCTAGCCTTGTCCGGTATGCAACCTACACAACACACTTGTAAGTATTCTTTTCTTCTTTAGTTTCTTCTTGTTCACTTGTTATTCGATTCGTTAAGTTCCGTTTAATTATACACATTACAGAAGAGTCAAATGGACAATTTAACACATTTAGAGGGTTGAGAGAAGCATAAAAAAGTCAACATAATTTTCCCCCTCAAGCCGTACATGCGGAAGTCCCTAGCCGTACGTGCGAGAAGGTGCGCCGCACTTGTGGCCCGCACCTGCTTTTATTTCAGAATGCCATCTTCAAGTTCTCCTGTTTTCCTCACGTGCGGCTATGAGCCCTACACGTGCGGCTGTGTCCCGCACGTATGGCCATGGGCCCCGCATGTGCGGTCGGAGCCTCTCTTTTGTGCAATTCGAAGTTCAACAAAAATTCAACCTTTCCAAGGCATCTCAAGGCTCAATTATAAGCAAAATTCCTTCATTATCACAGCATATAACATACTAAACATAACTTTGACAAATAATTAACTCATAACTCATGCAAAAAGGAGTACCTACAATTTGATCATACTTTATTTCATAGCCACAAGAGATGTAAACGCATATAGAAAAGAGATACAACATAGGAGGATCATAGTATGTAAAACTTGGAGATTGAAAGATGAATCTCCTTAAGCTATCTCAAAGTAATCCCATATGTCATCATTTAACCCTTAAAGTAAGCAAATACAAGGAAAATTGGTGAGTCTTATGTTTATCCTCTCAACCACATCCAAAACCCCAATCTAAAAAAGTGAAAAACCTCTTTCAAATACTTGAGAATAAAGAATTAAAAGTAGTTTTAGAGTAATTAGGTTGCCTACACTTACTTGGAGTTTCAAATCCTTGAACTCTTCCTCAAATCTACCAAGCTCCTAGTTGATTTGCCTTTTTCTCTCTTCTTTTTCTCTTCTCTTCCTTTCTTTCCTCCAGGAGATATTTTTTTCTCTCTTTTTTTTTTTTTTTTTTTTTTTTTTTTTTCTAAGTCCTCTACATTTCCTATATCTATCCATGTGCTTAAGTCATGAGTCCAAATAAGCTTAATTTGAGAATTGGGTCCAATTAAATCGATTTAATTTGTTACGAATCAATTTTTTATAAAAATTCACATGACGACTTAAAAATCATGGTGATCAAAACTGTAAAGTCAATTTCAGATTACTACACCTCTACGGCTTTTGATTTCCAATCTAAAGGTCTCGATTTTAACAGGTTTTTTTCATAACCGACAGATATAATTCTAAAATGGAAACAACGCACATAATTAAACACGATTTCGCGTGGAATTTCACATCAAGCAATAAGTACCCATATATTTAAAACTTAAAGCATATAAGAGGGTTGGGTTATTACAGTTTTTCATAAAGAGAATGCTAACCACCGCTCTAAAGGCATCAATTAGCTTGAGAATGTGTGAGAAAATTAAGAGTGGACAAGAAATAAATGATAAAGAGAGAAAAACGAATGGTAGAGAGAGAAAAATCTAATTTTTAGGGAGGTTAGTTTAATTTACCCTAGAGTTAAACTATGCAGTTTTTCATAAAGAGAATGCTAACTACCGCTCTAAAGGCATCAATTAGCTTGGGAATGTGTGAGAAAATTAAGAGTGAGCAAGAAATAAATGATGAAGAGAGAAAAAAGAATAGGGAGGTTAGTTTAATTTACTCTAGAGTTAAACTATGAAGTTTTTCATAAAGAGAATGCTAACCACCGCTCTAAAGGCATCAATTAGCTTGGGAATGTGTGAGAAAATTAAGAGTGAGCAAGAAATAAATGATGAAGAGAGAAAAACGAAAGGTAGAGAGAGAAAAAAAGAAAAAGGGAGACCCTTGTTGTTCCTTGTCGCCTTAATGGGCACGGGACCCCCACGACTCCTCTATAATCACTAGTAGCAAGCCCTTTCACATTTCGACATCCCTTGTCCCTCGTCACCTCAACAAGGGATTGTAAACCTTTTGTACCTTTGCTAGTCGCTAACTAGTCGACCTAATGATATCTTTTATTGCCCTTTTTTTTTCTTATGAGCTTGAGAACTTTTGAACATATTAATTTGCCTTAGGTGGCTGTAGACACCCCATTTTGACTGCCCGCAAGACTTAGGCACTTGGTTCGATACACTCGATAATGAAAGTTGAATTGTGTGCTTTGAATTCACAGTGATTTGGATTCAGTCAGGCTCTCGAAATAACCTCAAATCTTCAACATTTACCTTGTT